GCGCGACCGAGACAGACTTGGCCCTGCACGTCGGCAGGCGCCTGGCTTCCGCCGCTCAGGAGGGAACCATCTCCCCCGAATCCTCCGAGCGCTGAGGGCAGCGGGCCCTCCCGGCGCCGCCCTGGGGGCGACGGCGCAAAACATCTCCGCGTCAGTCCTCCCGCCGCGATCACCCGCGCGATCGCGACCCAGGGACTGCTCGCCACGCCCGCGGGTCGCCGAGCCAGCCGCGCGAGGCGAGGTTGAACGCGCGCCGATCCTGTTTGGAGAGGGCGCCGCCGAGGCGGAGCTCCCCACGAGACTGGGCGCAACGCTGGGCCATGGGCGCCGACGTCATCGGCGGCGCTGCGCAGGGGGCCGGCGTCGAACCAGCCACCTGCAGCGAGGCGTCGGCCACGGCGTTGCACCCCGCCGCCGCGCGCGCCGCCAGCGCCACCATCTCAGCGTCGATCCCTGCCCGCCCGCCCATCTCGGACTCCGAGAGCTGCGCGGCCAAACTGGGAAGCCATCTCGGATAGCTGGAGGGCCGGCTCGCAGGGCTCGCGGCGCGCCTGCCCGAGACCACACCTCTCCTCGGCGCGCTCCTCCGTCGCCGCCGCCTGCGTCGAGACGCGACCCCCATCTGCAACGGCGTCATCAACGTCGCCGGGGGCCTCTTCCACGAGGCTCGCAGACGCCGGAACGGAGACAGCGCCGACGAGCCCCGGCGGCGCCGCTGCGCCCAGGAACGCACCCGCAGACGCGGTCTCCCCGAAGATGGCGTCGAAGCGCTCGCCTTCATGGGCGCGGCGCACGACGTCGCGCGGCCCGTCGCGCCGCCCCCCAAAGGCGCCAGGCCGCCCAGGAGGCGGCTGGAGCGGCGCAGCTCGGGGAAGCCGCTCGCGGCGGACGCTCCTCCAACTACGACGCGCGGTCGCTGGGCAGGTCCGTCTGCCGGCGACCGCGTGGAACACCCTCGCCATGGGCCGTGCACCCATTCAGAACGACCGCGTTCTGCGCGACCGCCTCGCCCGCCATAGCCTCGAAAACGAGGAATGGCGGGGCGTGGCCCAACCCCCGCAGCACGCGCGCCCCGCCCATGCGCGGCTAGGTTCAGCCATGACTCCCTCGACCCCCACATCGCGCAAGTGTTCCACGCGCGCAGTGCACGCCGCGCCTCGCTCGTCGGTCGAGACCAGCGCCTCCGCGCGCGCCTCTCTTCACGCGAGCACTTGAAACCAGCAATCCGCCAAACTCCCGCCTGCGCCGCGGCCGAGGCCGAGGCTCTGACCGACAGCGACGCCCGACTGGGAGCCCCGCGGTTCGCAGGGCGCCCCCGACCGCTTCGAGCACGACGGCTCGCGCTTAGAACGTCGTGAATTTTACGACATGGCCCTCGACAGCCCGGCGCCCATCGGCACCCCCAGGCCCGTCGCGAAGCGCGTCGCGCACGAGTTCCCACCCCGCCCGCTCGCGCACCCACGTCTCGCTCAGAATCCGCCCCACTGGCCCCGCGCCCCCCTGCGCTCTCAACAGGCGCGCCAGGAACTCGGCCGGCGCGAACGCTGCCCACGGCCATCGCCCCTGGCGACGCTTGCGCATCCCCCATCAGACCTACCGCGCGAACGCCGGGAAGCACGCGCAAAACACGCGCGCGTCCATTCCGAATAATTACCCCAACCTAAACCAGTGGACCTTCCGAAAGACAGCCAGCGGTGGTGACGAGCCCACTTTGGACGACGCCGCCACTTCCACCGCCCTTCCGCCACGCTTGGCGCCCCCCGCCCGCCTCTCCGCCGGCCGCGCCGCCGGCGCATGACGCCTTCGTCGGGCCTTTCACCAAATCGAAACGTCGGCCCCGCGTCGCCCGCGTCCCATCCTGAGCGCCCACCCCATCGGCTCGCGCATTGCTCGCGCCAGTGGACGCTGCCCCGCGCGTTTCGTCAGACGCGCCCGCCGCGCCCACTTCCGCTCGCATGAGCACGCGCATCGTGAGTCAGCGCGCACTTTCCCGCCCGGGAAGGGGGCGGGCGCGGCGCGACGGCGGCGCCGCCCCTCCGCGGCCCACCCTCCGACAGCACGCGATACGTAGGCGGGCGATCGTGAAGGGGCGGCAAGGGCGTCGGCAGTCTGCGAAGCCCTGAAGAAGCCCACCGCAGGCGCCTAATTTTCACAAATTGCGCAGCGAGCCTGCCGCGGGCGCCTATTTCCGCTGAAGCAATGTAGGTAGGTCGCAAAGTGGGTCGCGGGGGGATCGCGGATGGTTCGCGGTTGGGTCGCGGGCCTGGTCGCGGGCGGGTCGCGGGCGGCGCGCGGGCGGGTCGCGCGTGGGTCGCGAGGCGGGCCGCGGGCGGGTCGCGGGCGGCTCGCGGCCGGGTCGCGGGGCGGGGCGCGAGGCGGGTCGCTGGCGGGCAGGCAACCGGCGGGTAAGCCACGCACCAGTAACAGTGAATGGCCGTTCCGATCGGCCCCATCGCTATGATTATAGCCTGTCTGGAACGCGCATCGCTGC